GGCGTGCCCCGGCGATGCGCTGTGCACTGCAGGCTGTCGGCGCGTCGCCCCCCCTCCGCGGGGCGGGATGCTCGGAGAGGCTCCGAGGCGCAGCGGGCCAGAACTGGCGGCGCGACGCGCCAGAGGCGAAACTGGCAGCAGGGATGCGCGACAGGGATGCACGCCCCGTGGACGCCCATGCCGAGGCTCTCCGGGAGGGGCTGGCCGTCGAGAGGGGCTCAGGATGGGCCGACGAGGCAGGCACGCAGGGAGGGGTACCCTTGGGGCGGCTGCCCATCCTCACAGTGGAGGCCAGTCCGCAGGAAACCTTCCACAAGAAACCCAGCCCTGAGACCCCAGGTCGTCCATCGGTTTCTGGTGTGGGAGCGTCGCGCTTTCCATCGCAAGACCACCGGAAACCAAGACACCCAGGGCAGCCTGGAGGCAGGCAGGGTGTTTCTTGGCACGGGCCAGGAAGGGGCAGGAACGGTTGCGAGGAGGAGCAGGGTGAGCAAGAGGCGAGGGAGGAGGAGGAGGAAGAGAAGGAGGACGAGGAGGAGGAGGAGGAGGAGGAGACTTGGCATGGATCTCCACTGTACGCCCTGGAGGTTGCGTGAAGCTTCTGGGACGCTCCTGGAGGCTCATGGGCACGTTGCCCGTGCAAGCGGGCCGTTCCACACCGGAGGCGGAGGCGGAGGAGGAGGAGGAGGAGGAGGAGGAGGAGGAGGAGGAGGAGGAGGAGGAGGAGGAGGAGGAGAGGAGGGAGGAGAGGGAAGGAGGAGAGGGGAGGAGGAAAAGATGTCATCGGACCGCAGGTCGCCGCCACCGCCGAGCCCCACTCGCCACCCCCGAGGCCACACGGAGGGGCTCTCCGAGACGCCAGGAGGCCGCCTCCCGAAGTGGGCCTGCGCTCGCCCCGGTCACGGCCCCGACTCGCCTCGCTATCCCGCCCTCGTCTCGGAAAAAAGAAGCTGGCCATCGCTCGGACGTCTCCTCCCTCCTCCTCCTCCCTCCTCCTCCTCCTCCTCCTCCTCCTCCTCCTCCTCCTCCCTCCTCCTCCTCCTCTCCTCCTCCTCCTCCCTCCTCCCTCCTCCTCCTCCTCCTCCTCTCCTCCTCCTCCTCCTCCTCCTCCTCCTTCTCCTCTTCCTCTTCCTCTTCCTCCACGTCCTCCCCCCTTCCCCGTTCCTCGCCGCCCCTTTTTCGCGCACTGTGCACGCGACTCCTCCCAGAACTTCGAACCTTGATCGCCGAAGCCGCTCGGGATCCCCCCCCCAAACCTTAGGTCGGGCCTGTCCCCTACAGGGGGCTTTTGGACAAAACATGAAACATACCCCCAAACATGGTGCAAACCTGCAAACCTTATGAGACATAGTTTTTTATATAAAAAAGTCCCCAGACTAATTTGGGACTATGTTTGACGATCCCCCCTGTAGAGGGACAGGCCCGACGCAGCCCAAACCTCGCGCCACGATCTCCCCACGGCGGCGGCGGCGGCCACGGCCCAGCGACCGAGCAACACGGCGCCCCCCGCCTGCCCCGCCGCCGCCGCCGAGCTCCCGCCGGCCCCGGCCGCGTGGGCGGCGACGGCCTGGGCATCGGCAAGGAGGAGGAGGAGGAGGAGGAGGAGGAGGAGGCGGCGGCGGCGGCGGCGGCGGCCACGGCGGCCGCGGCGGCGGCCTCGGCAGGACGACGACGACGACGACGACGACGACGACGACGACGACGACGACGACGGCGACGACGACGACGACGACGACGACGACGACGACGACGACGACGACGACGACGACGACGACGACGACGACGACGACGACGACGACGGCGGCGGCGGCGGCGGCGGCGGCGGCGGCGGCGGCGGCCTCGGCGGCGTCGTCGACTGCGTCGGCGTCGTTGGCGTCGTCGGCGTCGTCGGCGTCGTCGGCGGCCCTCAGCCAACGAAGGCGGCAGTAGGGAGGTGTGCCAACGTACATCCACAACTCTGACCTCAATACCTGACGGCGCCAAATGCCACCATCCAATGTTTTCCTCCTTCTGGGTGTGAACGCGATTTACTCGCCTGCCGGCCGATTGTGCCTATCAGCGTCAGTTCACCTAAGCACTGTGGCATACATATTGGCCAACCCCCCACCGTTCTACCATGTGAAGCCGGGGTGTTGGAGGGCAGTGCCCGTGCCACTCCGGTGTCGCTCATGCGGCCGCCCCGTCCATGCCCCAACCACCCGGGAGACGATTCGACCCGTGCCGCCGCGGCGTCACGTGTGCCGCCGTTGCGTCACACATGCGGTCGCCCCTGCTTCCCACCCGTAGTCGAGCTTTTTCGAAGACGGGCATGAAAGAAAAAATGGAAAACAATACCAGGAACTATGAACAAAAGATTGATATCCGCATGCCTCCCATCCCCCGCGGTTTGCGATTTGCGCTTCCTTCTTCGACTACCTGCACCCGCTGTACCGCCTTCCTGGGCTGGGCTTCGCGGGGTTGGCGGGCTTGGGGTTCGTCGTCACAGCTTCAGGTCTCAAACTGACTCCCGCAAGGGCTGCATGACCCCCAGGAACGCGCATGGCCGCTCGCGGTCGCTGTATGAACAGCAGACTTCCAGCAAAGCCAAATAGCTTGCTCATCGGGAATATCTGTTATCGTAAAATACCCAGAAACGCGCATGGCCGCTCGCAGTCGCTTTATGAACAGCAGACTTCCAGCAAAGCCAAATATCTTGCTCATCGGGAACATCTGCTATCGTAAAATACGTTCCCTCCCCCTCCTCGCCTCTTCCGGCCCCTCCTCCTGCTGTCCCTCTGCTCCTCCGCCTCCCCCTCCCCCCTCCTCATCATCCCAGCATTTGCCAGGCTTGGTCAGCTGGGGAAGAAGGGTTTGAGGAAGCACTCGGTTGCAACTTCTCCGCGTGATTGGGATGGTCGGTCCCGAGGCAGCCCAGGAGGATACACATCCCCCGAAGCTGTATCCAAGTCCAGCGGCATCGCAACCGTCCATATGGGACCTGGTCTAGAACAGGAACATACCGTAGGCGGATACACCCTGTCTCCGACCTTGTACTACGCCGGAAGCAGCGGCAGCGTTGTCTATAGACGCATCCACCCCGAATCTGTCTATGTACGTAACTAGCGACTCCCAACGTGCCCATTGACGATTGCGGCTAGAAAACGAGAGCGGCATTTGGCGCAGGCCCGAGACAGTGATCTTCTCAAGACAAGTAGACGTTGCCCTTCACGGCTTCCCCCCTGGGAACGCGACTTTTGCAGACCGCCCTCACAAACGAGCTGGTCAGGCACAAGACCGTGGAGAGGTCGTGTGCAAAATTGGCATCCCCTGGGGACGCGATCGTTGTGCACCACCCCGCCGAACAAGCTGATCCGGCTAAAGGCACGCGCACAGGGGGCGGTGGTCATAGATCGCTCCCCGACTCCCCGCCCCGAAAGTATAGGAGGAGGAAGAGGACACGGAGAGGGAGGGGGACCAGGACGGCGACGATCCCCCTCGTCTTCCTCAGTCTCCTCATCCTCCTCGTCCTTCGCATCCTCCTCGTCATTCGTATCCTCCTCCTCCTCCTCCTCCTCCTCCTCCTCCTGCTCCTCCTCCTCCTCCCCTCCTCCTCCCCCTCCTCCTCCTCCTCCTCCTCCTCCTCCTCCTCCTCCTCCTCCTCCTCCTCCTCCTCCTCCTCCTCCTCCTCCTCCTCCTCCTCCTCCTCCTCCTCATCCTCGCCCTCCTCCGCGTCCCGCCACCCCCCCACCGCTGCCCCTGCCCCGACCCCCTCTCGGGCCCGCAGGCCGGGGCCGAGGAGGGCCGCCGAGAGAGGCGGGGGGGCCCCCGCGCGCGCGCGCCAGCGGCGCCGAGGAGCGCTCCCCGAGCGGCGGAGGCCCCCGAGGCGGAGGGGCCCCCGAGGCGGAGGGGCTCCCGAGGCGGAGGGCCCCCGAGGCCGAGGAGGGCCCGGGGGCGCAGGCCGAGGCGGAGGCCGAGGCGGAGGCCGAGGCCGGCCGAGGCCGAGGAGGGCTCCCGCGGGGCCGAGGAGGGCTGCCGAGGAGGAGGGGGGGGAGGAGGAGAGGGGAGGGGGAGGGGGAGGAGGGAGGAGGAGGAGGAGGAGGAGGAGGAGGAGGAGGAGGGAGGAGGAGGAGGAGGAGGAGAGGAGGAGGAGGAGGAGGAGGGAGGAGGAGGACGGGGGAGGAGGAGGAGGAGGAGGAGGAGGAGGAGGAGGAGGAGGAGGAGGAGGAGGAGGAGGAGGAGGGAGGAGGAGGAGGAGGAGGAGGAGGAGGAGGAGGAGGAGGAGGAGGCCGCCCCGGCGTCGGCGGGGGTGGGGACGTCTGGGCGTTGCGTGTTGCGTCATGGGGGGTCATAAAGGGAGGAGGAGGAGGAGGAGGAGGAGGAGAAAGGAGGAGGAGGAGGAGAGGAGGAGGACGAGGAGGAGGAGGAGGAGGAGGAGGAGGAGGAGGAGGAGAGGAGGAGGAGGAGGAGGAGGAGGGAGGAGGAGGAGGAGGGGAGGAGGAGGAGGAGGAGGAGGAGGAGGATGAGGAGGAGGCGGAGGAGGAGGAGGAGGAGGAGGAGGAGGCGGAGGAGGAGGAGGAGGAGAAAGAGGAGGCGCAGGCTGGGCGGCGCGCCTCGTCCACGTAGCGCGACAGGCTGTCGGCCCTCTCGGCGCCGGCGCGCCGGGTGCGCTCCAGCTCCGCGGCCACCGCGGCGGCCTGCGGTCGCCGCCGTCGCCGCCGCACCCAGGCATCCAACGACGACGGCGACGACGACGACGACGACGGCGGCGGCGTCGACAGCGGCGGCGGCGGCGGCGACCGGCGGCGACCGGCGGCGGCGACGACGGCGACCCCAGACCTATAACGTATTCTTGCTCGCGGTTTTAGCGTCTGGGGCCCTTTCCAGGCCCTGGAACCGTCAAGATCGGGGACGAAAAGCAGGTTCGGCAGGTGGTCCGGAGCTCTAGGGATCCCGTTTTGAAGAAATCGAAACAACTTAAGTCTGGGGTAGGGGCGGTGGCGGCGGGGCGGGGGCGGGAGGAGTGAGGGGTGAGGTTCTGATTGCGAGCTATCGCGCTGCAGGGGTGCTCGCTGGACTTGGTCCAGCGCAATTCGTTCCCCGGTTATCAGGCGTATGGGGATGACTGCCGCACGTGGCAACTAGCCACTGGAAAATATCTATATCATGACCTCTTAGAAGCCTTCCGAAGGTGGTCCAAGTCAGAGCCGCCTTGCATGCAACAATCTCTCGACGGTCACCACAGCCAGCGGGGCGCGCGGCCACGGTAGGCGCCCTACTGCTCTGGGAAGCGGGCCGCGAGGTGCTCGTACTTTACCAATTCAGCCTCCAGCTTCTCCAGCGTTGGCGGTATGTCATCGAGCGTGATCGGCGCGTTGAGCTTAAGCTGGTTAAAGAGCTTGAACGTTACTGCATGATACTTGATCAGCTTGGCAGTGCCCTCTTTGCCCTTCGGCTTGGAACCCTTACTCTTCTTGGCCTTCGTGGGCTCGAACCAGAACTCATCCCGGTCGTCTTTCTTCCGCAGGACCTGTAAGCCAGCCATGTTTTTGTGCTCGATGTCCTTCGCTTCCTCCCCCTTTCCCACCTCCCTCGAGGCCGCTAGGCTCTTGCAGAATCCGATTGCCTGCTCAATCAGCGTAATCTCTGTCACAAAGGGAAAGGGCTGCTCGTCCAGTGTCTCCACACTCTTCTGGCGGTGCCGCTCCAGCCGCTCCTCCCACTCGACCTGTTTTCTGCTGTAGCCACTGCTGCTGGCCGCGGGGCCGCTCCCCCTGACTGGGCCCGGGGCGCCCTTCTCCTTGCCCCTGCGCTCGTGCTCGTCGAAGCTCGTCCGCGCGAGGTTCTTCCAGGCGTGGTCCACTGAGGCCTGCCGCCTGAGCTGCTTCTCCCTGTCCAGGTACTCCTCGTCACGAGCTCTGCGCTTCTCTTGCTGGTCCGCTCTTTGCCCGTCCGCACTTTGCCCCTCGACATACTTGAGGAAGTGTCGACCCTGCCCCTCCTCGACGCGGTAGGTCTTGTCGTGCCGGCATGGCAGCTCCAGCGTGCAGTACCAAGCCCATTCGGTGTTTATCACCTCTGCGTAGAAAGCATTGGTCCTGAAATGGTCGATCCAAGTGCTGGATACCCGCCTCTTCTCCAAGTGATAGTCGTCACTTACCTTCTGCTCAAAGGTGTCGAATCCTACAGCTGAGCACATGTCGTCGACACTTACTAGCGACACTTTCATCATGGCGCGCATGGCATCCGTAAGTTGGGCGAGCTGCTCATCGAGGTCAGAGCGGTGGGCGTAGCAAGTCTCCTCCAACAACTCACGACGCACAACTTCCGATACGTCATTGCCACGGGAGTGCGCAGTGGGAAGCGGGCTGCCGTGCGTCAGATGTGCTAGGTGTTTTGCCAGCAGCGTGAGACCTTCACGAGAAAGAAGTGAGAACGGAGACACATTGCTGCCACTGCACAACGGGAAAACTCCAGAGTGGAAGGAATCGATGTACCGAGGCAATTCGTCTGAAGACTCGACCGTAATTTTCAGTTTCTGTTTCATCTCGCTCAGTACGTCTGGAAACCGCTGCAACCTCACAGGCAGTTCATTGTCGCGCAGCAAGTCGTCCAAGCATGTGTCCAACAGATTCGACAGATGGTCTACACTCTTCTCACACAGACTGAGCAACAAAGCGCTAGCGCCAAATTGGTCTCCTGTCGCTGAGCTCAGCTCCTGCATGCGCTCCATCAGATTTTGTTGGAGGAGTTCCGTCTGAGCTGATTGCAGCCGCTTCGCCTCTTCATGAAATCTGTCCGACAAAACGAACAGTCGGTCGCGCACTGTGGTAGACAGAAACTGAATAGCCGCGTCAGTCAGTTCACCACTTGCTACTGGTAACCCCAACTCTGCATGCTTTACCTTCAGTGCTTGGCGCTGGTCCAACAAGCATGCAATCGTTTTGGGGACAACATCGCGAACCATGCTCTGTCGATACAGATCGCGAATTGTTTTTAATATTTCGCTTACGCCATGGCCACGCAACCCTATTTTTTCAAGCTGTGCCCTTTCATTTTTCTCCTGGTGGCACAGCCGTACCATTGGTGACTCGCCTGGCAGGAGTTCGGTAGGTGGATTTGCTGTCCCTATGAAACCATGAGGCGTGAGCGTTGCAGCATCGGTACCACCGAAGCGGGCGCTCAGTGCTGGACTAATTTCATTAAGCATGTCCACCATTGTCAAAACGCCAATGCAACGATCTTCAATATCTTCGTACTTGACCATCGCGAAAGCCACCGACTGATTCGGTGGTATGTATGCGGGCCCGACTAACAAGAACACAGAGTTCGCCTTGTAGTGACGAATATACTCAAGCACGAGAGCCCCTGTCCGTTTGCGGTCATCAGGAGGATGTAGAACAAGACCCGGTAAGTCAATCATGTTTACAGGTGGCAAGACAGGGGAGGTGACAGTGACCTCCAATTCAATACCCGCCACATCGGCAAATTCGTCCATCATGCGCCGCACGCCGTCCTCGCTGGACCCCAGCGCTAACCTGATCGGGCCCTTGATCTTTTCACCTGTTCCTCGCTTAACAACCGAAAGAAAAACTGCAACCTGCGAACCTCCTCGGCGCACCCGTACTCGAATAGGCATCCGAGTACACACGTCGGGGGAACGAGGAAAAACTGGAAGCTTCAACAAGCGCTCCAACAAAGTAGATTTCCCACTGTTTTCCAGCCCCACCACAATGATGTGAGGCGGCGTCCAGCCGTCCAAAACTTTTGCCACGACTGGCTGAACAGTGTCGAACATCGCGACCAAGTCTTCCAGCTGCTGCATGTTTGCATTCAAACGATTTGACTCATGAGGCAGGTCGACGACGCCCTGCCGAAACTCAGCCATGTATTTTTCGACTTTCTTTCCAAAGTCCAAGTCTCGCTCAATGCTGCCTTCAATCAGCAAACGCCCACTGCTCGGCGAATTGACGGGTGCATCGTTGGACCTGCAGTGCGCGATCCATTCCTGAAGACTCTGTTCGCCATACCGCTCCCATTGCCCAGACTCCAGCCGTACTTTGACAGGAGATGTGATAACCCTCTGCGTAATTCGCCGGCCCCAGGGGCCAGAGGCGTGCTAAGATCTACGGTAACAACTTAAGAGTATTCCTATTTCGCGCGCGCGGGGCGGCCCCTGGGGATCCCCGGACGAAAAATACTGCGACGGACTCTGGGCAGACTCCGGGTCAGAGATGGCGGAACTGCCGGGCGCGGTTCTGACGGTTCCCGGATCGCTCCAGGAACGCCCGAAAGAGGTTCAAGAGGGCTCCGAGTCGCACACAGATCGCTCCCAGATGTCAAATATGGCCTCCAGACGGCCCCACAGGCCTCGAAAATATCCCAGAAATCTCCAAGACGCCTCCGAAAAGAGCCCCGAGAGGTAAAATCGCTCCATTCCCTTCGCAAAGCGTAAATTTAAACGAGGTTCGCCTCCTGAGCCTTCGCAGCGTCCAAGACGGCCCCAGACGTTCCCAAGATCGCCCCAAGACAACCGAAGAGACCCCCAAAAAGGCTCCAAGACAACCCCTGAGAGCCTCAAGACGGTGACGGGAACCCCAAGACTGGCCAAGACGGCCTCAGGATTGCGCCAAGAGGACCCCAGAGGAATTACGCTACCGAGGAACCCCACATACTTATATGATGGCTGGAGTGATGATAGCTGAAGTGAAACATGTGAGAATGATGTTGGTGGCCGTTGCCCCGCCGATACAGTAGTGCCCTAGAAAGACCGCCACGGATAGCGGCCGCGGTGAGAAACCATCCCCTGCGCACCCCTTATGGTGTCGAGAATATGCCATGACTGCTGTGCCATGGACGACCGTCACGGATAGCGGCCGCGGTGGGGGACCACCCCTTGCGCACCCCCTTTGGTGTCGGGAATATGCCATGCCTGCTGTGCCGTGGACGACCGTCACGGATAGCGCCCGCGGTGAGAGACCACCCCCTGCGCACCCCCTACGGTGTCGAGAATGTGGCATGCTTGCTGAGCCATGGACGACCGTCACGGATAGCGGCCCTGGTGGGAGACCACCCCCTGCGCACCCCCTATGGTGTCGAGGATGTCCCATGCCTGTTGTACCATGGAAGACCGTCACGGATCACCCCTTGCGCACCCCCTATGGTGTCGAGACTATGCCATGCCTGCTGTGCCCTGGAAAGACTGTCACGGATAGCGGCCGCGGTGAGAAACCACCCCCTGCGCACCCCCTTTTATGGTGCTGAGAATCTGCCACGACTGCTGTCCCATGGACGACCGTCACGGATTGCGGCCGCGGTGAAAGACCACCCCTTGCGCACCCCCGATGGTGTCGAGAATATGCCACGCCTGAAGCGCCATGGACGACTGTCACGGATAGCGCCCGCGGTGAGAGACCACCCCCTGCGCACCCCCAGTGGTGTCGAGAATATGCCATGCCTGCTGCGCCATGGACGACCGTCACGAATAGCGGCCGCGGTGAAAGACCACCCCCTGCGCACCCCCTATGGTGTCGAGACTATGCCATGCCTGCTGTGCCATGGGCGACCGTCACAGGTAGCGGCCGCGGTGAGAGACCACCCCCTGCGCACCCCATATTGCCTGCTGCGCCATGGTCGACCGTCACGGATAGCGGCCGCGGTGAAAGACCACCCCCTGCGCACCCCCTTGTGGTGTCGAGAATATGCCATGCCTGCTGTGCCCTGGACGACCGTCACGGATTGCGGCCGCGGTGAAAGACCATCCCTCACGCACCCCCTTGTGGTGTCGAGAATATGCCACGCCTGCTGTGCCATGGACGACCGTCACAGATAGCGACAGCGGTGAAAGACCACCCCCTCCGCACCCCCTATGGTGTCGAGAATATGCCATGCCTGCTGTGCCCTGGACGACCGACACGGATAGCGGCCGCGGTGAAAGACCACCCCCTGCGCACCCCCTATGGTGTCGAGACTATGCCGTGCCTGTTGTGCCATGGACGACCGTCACGGATAGCGGCCGCGGTGAGAGACCACCCCCTGCGCACCCCCTATGGCGTCTGGGCGGCTGTCACGGGTAGCGGCCGCGGTGAGAGACCACCCCCTGCGCACCCCCTATAGTGTCCAGAATATGCCACGCTTGCTGTGCCATGGACGACCGTCACAGATAGCGGCCGCGGTCACAGACCACCCATTGCGCACCCCCTTATGGTGTCGAGAGTATGCCATGCCTGCTGTGCCATGGACGACCGTCACGGATAGCGGCCGCGGGGAAAGACCACCCCCTCCGCACCCCCTATGGTGTCGAGAATATGCCATGCCTGCTGTGTCCTGGACGACCGCCACGGATAGCGGCCGCGGTGAGAGACCAGCCCCTGCGCACCCCCTATGGTGTCGAGAATATGCCATGCCTACTGCGCCCTGGAAGACCGTCACGGATAGCGGACGCGGTGAGAGACCACCCCCTGCGCACCCCGTATGGTGCTGTGTGTCAATGTGCTGTGTGCTGTGCTGTGCTGTGCTGAGCTGTGCAGTGCTGCGCTGCGCTGAGCTGTGTTGCGCTGTGCTGTGTGAGAAGGAGAAGGAGGGGGAGGCGTGCGCGTGCGTGCGGGGGCCGCGGGTGCGACGCGGCAGGGATGAAGCCCCAGAGAGCCTCAAGACGGCTCCAAAACCCCCCATAGGCCGGCCAAGACGGCCTCAGGATTGCGCCAAGAGGGGCCCAGAGGAGGAACCAGAACGGACCTTTCGAACCCGCGATTTGCCGATCAATCGACATATGAGGCATATCGATTTCTATGCTAAAACATTGTTCTCCTTCGTCGCGTAGTTCAAGTGAGGCGGATATACTCCAGCGAACTAATGGGCACATGGCGAGTGAAGTCCGTCAAGCGGGCTTACACAAGATGTATCAGCGCGAGCGCGCAAGCGTGGGCTGGCAGGCCGGCCGGGCCGCGCGCGCGCCTTCTGCTCTGAGTAAGCGAACAGCTGCGGAGGCAGTCCATCCGCGTCAGTCCTCAGCCCTGCCAACGCCGCGTTACAGGAGAATGGGCAGGGCAGCTGAAAAGGGCGAGGGAAGCGTTAGAAACGACTCCCCCGACGGCCTCCCGGCGCGACATCGCCACGCCAGGGCGGACGTCAGCACATTGTCTAACATCCCGAGCAAAAGAGGCGGGACGTGCCAAACAGCCGCCGGCAGGCCCCGAGAGCGCCGGACAGACTTCACCCCTTCGCCAAGGGCCACTTTGGGCCCCCCACGGTTCCAACCCCCCAAAAAATACAAGGCGCACGTGCACTCCCGTCACCGCTCCATGGGACTAGCCAAGGGCCGCTGGGCAAGTCCCCCTACAGCGTTGCACAGAGGCGCGAGCCGCCCAGCAATCAACTCATATAAGGCAACCAGCCTGTCGATGGCCTCGGCGCGCCAGCGGACTGGGGCAACGCCCCGTCGCTCTGGGCCAGACTGACAATCTACTGCCCTGAACGGCTTGTCCTCCACCACTGACTTCTCATCTGATCATCGCGATCGGTGCGATGCCAGTCCTGTTCGCCACGCTGTGTCTGCCGACCAGCGCAGCTCCAGGATGGTGTCCAGGAAGCCCAGAGGTCTGCGGGGGCTGCGCGCCAAGGGGGCCGGGAAGACGCCGCTTCACGCTGCCACCCTCGCCCGCAGTTGCGACGCCATGGCGGGGCGGACTCTTCCTCGGCAGATTCCAGAGGCATGCGCACTGGCGCGGGCGGCGCCGGCGTCAGTCTCGGCACCGACCTTCCAGCTGCGCCCCCCCAGTGGCATCCGAGGAGGCACTGGGCGCTCGCATCCACGGAGGCACCGCTGGCGCGGCGCGAAGGTCAACCTTTGGCCGCCTGTCAATCGTGAGGGGACCTCTTTGTCGGAGTGCGCGTAGCGGCATGTTCTGTTCCAATTCCCACTTGGTAGGTTCCCAGGCACGACGACGCATTACCAAATGACGATCAGGAGGATCATAACTTCCGCTGCGCTTCTGAACGCGCGGCGGGCCACGGTCACTCCCGCGCGAGCTCGTCCTCGCGGAACGGGCCCGAGGAGGCGGGGGCGGCGTCTGAACGTGGCGCTTCCCACTCATAGAGGATGAAGCCCCACCATGGCCGGCGTCGTCAGGTCGGTCTCCATCAACGTCACTCCGTTCATCCCTCGGATCTTCGGGAGGGCCACGGCGCGCCTCAGTTTCGCAATCCTTCAAGGGGGCCCAGCGCGCATGAGAGTGTTCCCACATGCGGCCCTTCAGCTCGTCAAGAATAGGAACGCTGGATCCCTGGCCATCTCCCGCGCGCCAGTTCCTCCACCCATTGGATGGAGCATTGGGATATGCATCTGACGGACGCGCGTTATCCCGCATGGATAGTTCCAAGAAACCGAAACTCTTACCATGCTGGTCCACATAAAAGCTCAAGAACGGCCACCACATATCTACGGGGACAACTGCGTCTGGTCCAGTAGCTGGGGTCCCCTTGCGCAGTTGATCATTGACACGCCGTAGACGCAGCTTGCAGGCCGTGCCCTGAAGCCAGGCGTGGATGTCGCCAAGGGCAGCATGGTCAAGTGATGCCTGCCGCCACGCAAAAACAGACATGAACTTAAACGTGGATTCCGTCTTACCCTAAAACGCGGCTTCCTCAGGATACTTGGCCTGGTCGGGCCGTTGCAATTTGTTCCTGGACTTGCATGCGTTCGCGTCCGTGGCGCGACCTTGCATATATGTTCTTGGCCTCGCAGGAAACGCGGGGGCATTGCACCCGGTCTCTGGATCGACTTCCAAGACCCTCATATGTTCTAATCCCATCGTCTCGCGTTTGAAATCGTTCGTCGCGAGCTCCTCTTCACGGTCGCCTAGCACGCGAAATAATTCTTTATATTTAACGTAATCAACGCAGCCTGATTCCCGGCGCGGACTAATCCAGACCCCGCCAGAGCGCCGATCGCACACCGCGGTCCACAACACTGTCGGGACCAACGCATCTGCTACAGGACTTTGCAGCATCTGATGAATGTCGCCCCAACGGGGGCGAAATTCAAGTACAAAGGACCCGTCCGACTAAATCCAGAATTCCCCGTGGTCAAAAATGCGCGGGGAGACGCGCGCCATGTAGTGGTCCGACAGC